CATTGCTATTAAGTCAACATTGTAGATAAAAGTTCTATTTTCTTTCACGCCATTTTTTTTATTACAACGTCCAAATACATTTTCGTAATTATTTTATTAAATACCTGCAACATATACAAAGTTGTTCAATTTTTCAAAGTAGTTTTTGATGATTAAATGGCTCCAATATTACAATAAAAACACACATAAGATGTTATAAGCAAAGTATCACAATAATTATATGATATCAAAATTTTTTTTGTTTTGTTTCTTGGATGTTTGCCTTTGGAAATTAATTTAGATTGATTGGTGGTTTATGGCGCAAAGCAACGAGGCTATCTGCGCCTCTTTTCATTAATTTAGATACTGGTGTAAATTGACGGGCGTAAGGCCTTAGTAGGTATTGTTCATTTGAGGCATCATGAGAAACATTCTGTGATACTCCATAGCAGGTTCATGCATTTTTTTAAAGCGTAAAGTGCTAAAACATGAGATGCGTCGACGTTTCTCAATCATTTTATTAAGCTTGCTACTATATCTTTAAATTTAGCGTAAAATATCAGTTTAATTACAAAACAACCTGCCACGAAAATTTTGTTAATAGATTTAGAGTAACTCATAAGTTTTCACTGGGTTACTAAGAGAAAAAAAAGGCAAATAATATAAAAAAAGGTTTGAGCACACTGTTACAGGAAACTGTAGGATTGATTACCTGTACTACTATCTCCGTTGCTGCTGTCTGACTGCTTTCTGAGACATACCAAAACAGCTGTGGTGACCACAAGAAGCACGATGATGGAGAATACTACTGGTAAGATAACAGTCAAGTTTCGGTAAAAGGGTAAGGACGAGTTCCTGCTCTCTGGACGCCTTACTGGTGGGGGCGTTAATACGGAAGCTTGGTATGACAAATCAAATTTACTTTAGTACTGCAGTAAACATGGAAGTAAGATTAAATACACTTTGATACTGTAGTAATCATAGAAGTAAGATTAAATACACTTTGGTACTTTAGTAATCATAGAAGTAAGATTAAATACACTTTGATACTGCATTATACATGGAAGTAAGATTAAATACACTTTGGTACTGCATTATACATAGAAGTAAGATTAAATACACTTTGGTACTGCATTATACATGGAAGTAAGATTAAATACACATTGGTACTGCAGTAATCATAGAAGTAAGATTAAATACCCTTTGGTACTGCAGTAATCATAGAAGTAAGATTAAATACCCTTTGGTACTGCAGTAATCATGGAAGTAAGATTAAATACCCTTTGGTACTGCAGTAATCATGGAAGTAAGATGAAATACACTTTGGTACTGCATTAAACATGGAAGTAAGATTAAATACACTTTGGTACTGCAGTAATCATAGAAATAAGAAGAAATACACTTTGATATTGCAGTAATCATGGAAGTAAGCTTAAATACCCTTTGGTACTGCAGTAATCATAGAAGTAAGATTAAATACCCTTTGGTACTGCAGTAATCATGGAAGTAAGATTAAATACACTTTGATACTGCAGTAAACATGGAAATACACTTTGGTACTGCAGTAATCATGGAAGTAAGATGAAATACACTTTGGTACTGCAGTAATCATGGAAGTAAGTTAAAATATATATTGGTACTGCAGTAATCATGGAAGTGAGATGAAATACACTTTGATACTGCAGTAAACATGGAAATACACTTTGGTACTGCAGTAAACATGGAAATACACTTTGGTGCTGCAGTAAACATGGAAGTAAGATGAAATACACTTTAGAACTACTGAGAGGGGATCGTATTCGGCGACGAGGATTCGAACCAACGACCCACAAATTGCGAGTCGAGCGCTTTAACTACCAGGGCATACCAGGCCCGGTACTAATTACTAGATCTAAGGTATTATTATATTTTCAGTCACATACATACATACATAGGTAGATATAAGTTTTTAATGAAATGTGAGTTGTATAACAATAAGATCTATAAGTGACTGAGCTTGATTCGCTCTGACGATAAGCCAGTATCAAACCGACTAAGCTAACAATAAGACCTATAAGGGATTGAGCTTGATTCGTTCTGACGGTAAGCCAGTATCAAACCGACTAAGCTAACAATAAGATCTATAAGGGATTGAGCTTGATTCGCTCTGACGGTAAGCCAGTATCAAACCGACTAAGCTAACAATAAGACCCGTAAGGGATTGAGCTTGATTCGTTCTGACGATATGCCAGTATCAAACCAATTAAGCTAACAATTACTTAAAATAACTGCATACCCGAGCATATTTAATACGAACTACAACATAGCTTCATAGCTTTGATATACATTTAAATCCCTGTGAAAGGGGGATATAATTATTTCAGGACATGGATTAATAGTAATAAGCAACATAAAATGGAGAGGGATAAAGCTAAACATTTGTTTTAAATAATTATAATTATTGAAACAGGTCCGTAGGTGATTAAGCTCGACTAATAAATAATTAACAATAGCTGTGGGTTATAATGTAGGCTTAAACTTAGACCTTTAATATAAATGGGCACGAATTCGATAGCGTGAGTGAAGGAAATGGTCTTGACGTATTTGTGGATAAGTCACTTAAGCCATCAAGTTACTGCTCTGTTGCTAAGAGTAAAGTTAATAGAATTTAGAGTGTATTTACAGACATATTGATTACATGTCAAATAAAGTGATTACCTCTCTATACAACTCACTAATTACACCATTCTTGAAAGTACTGTGTACAATTTTGGTCTCCTTATCTACGAAGGAATACTGTCTTATTGGAAGGAGTTCAGAGGAAGGCTACTGAGATGACTCCAGGGATAGAAGGGTTATATTACAAGGATATGGTAAGATATCTAGACTTATCTTCTCTTGATAAAAGAAGGGTAAGAGGTGATCTTCTTCAAGTTTACAAGATTATCCAGGGGATTGATAGAATTAAGGCGACTGATTCCTTTGTATTATACTCTGAATATAATTTGTTTGTTTTGAATTTCACGCAAAGCTACATGAGGGCCATCTGCGCTAGCCGTCCCTAATTTAGCAGTGTAAGACTAGAGGGACGGCAGCTAGTCATCACCACCCACCGCCAACTCTTGGGCTACTCTTTTACCAACGAATAGTGGGATTGACCGTCACATCATAACGCCCCCACGGCTGAAAGGGCGAGCATGTTTGGTGGGACGGCGATTCAAACCCGCGACCCGCAGATTGTGAGTTGAGCGCCCTAACCACCTGACCGTGCTGGGCCCCTGAATATAATAGGACAAAAGAACACGAGTTTACAAGTTGTAAAACTCAGACTGTATTCTTGTTTGGGCAGTTTTATTTTACTAAAGGGGTGATTAACTTATGGGATGGGTTGCCGTTACCAATAGTGAAGACTAGCACTTTACAGGAGTTTAAGAAGATAATCAATAATTTTCTGAAATGTAAAGATTGATACGTATTGAAAGGCTTGAAGGACCAACTGGTTCCTTGCGAGTTATTTTCCGAGCTTGTCGTTAGATGGGCAAGTACTAAATCAATTAAGATAAGAATTATCTACAGGTATACTTTCTTTTAAAGAACTACGGATTGTAATATAGGCCTAAGGGAAAAGGAGATTTTTTACAAAAAGATTTTTGTATACAACAAAAGCTCCGGAAAACATGTAACGACAGCGTTTGTGCATTGCAAATCCCTTTGTAACAACGTTTGCCGCCATTTTTTTTTTTACAATCAGCACCGGATGTAACTAGAGAAAATGGAGATTTGAAACAGTTATGGTACAAACTTTTGGCTGTCTATGTTGTGAGTTAATGGATGTATATTTGATACACACATTAGTCCTACTTTCTTCCAAGTCTTATAACTGAATATAATATGAAGTTTTGATGAAGATCCGCTTACCGAAGAAGGTATAGTTTAATGTCTGGAACGTATATTCCGCTTCCGTTGTTCCTGCTTCGTTATATGCATTTACTAAAAGACTGTATTCCCGACCAGGCGTTAAGTGGCCTATATCCAAATGCTTCTGCAGCGCCATCACGCGGGACGCTACAGTGTTCCAGACGTGTTGAAATGTAGGTCGATAACGAACAGAGAAATACTGAATAGGACATCCGCCGTCTTCCCACGAACCCAAGTTTAGGTTTACAAAAGTTGAATTTATTATCAAAAACGTCCTCTTGTGAGGAGAGACGGGAGCTGAAAACAGATTAAGATAGAAAGGGTTAAAAACGACAGCCAAACTTCTGTAGAGAAATAAATAATTAAAAACAGATTAAGATAGAAAGGGTTAAAAACGACAGCCAAACGTCTGTAGAGAAATAAATAATTAAACTAAATAACTGACAGTAGTGAGTGCATAATTATATTACGAACATTACAGTAAAATAGAAAAGAATTATTTCGCAACTGTAGCAAGAAAACTTAGCAATAAAGTTTTAAGCGTCAGTTAACAGATAACTTGTTTGTTTGTAGTTATGCACAAAGCTACACAATGGGCTATCTGTGCTCTGCCCATCACGGGTATCGAAACCCGGTTTCTAGCGTTGTAAGTCCGCAGACATACCGCTGTGCCACTGGGAGGGGGCAGATAATAGATAACAACCAGAACTTCTGACAACAAAGAATAACAAGAAAACTTATTAACTGGAAACTAATTGATGTATAATATATTATTATTAAAGCTAGCACTTCGATATGATAATTGTGAAGAAGATAGTTATATTTATTGTGACAAACGAGTAATTAAATTTATGATATTCTTAACTATAAACGCTAAAAAAAACCTAAACAATTCACCGTATAAATATTTCTATATATCCGTCACGATACGATTAATAAGGCTAAGGACTGTTTTTCTCGTATTTACATACAGAAGCATATTTAGAACAACTGATTCTTGGCATTATTTCTAAGTGTCTTTTAAACATAGGCCTCAGAACAAGGTTTCTACGGATGAGTAAAAATAAATAAATTATCATCCTTTATCACAATCAGCGGAGTAGAAAACAACGGAAAATTATTTTGAATTAATAATCACATTTTTTATGATGACTCCGTATAAACTGATAAGAATACGTGCTGCCATCTAGTATCAGATATTTTAGTTACCTCCTCCTTTGGTACGGCCTATAACAGTGGCACTAGGCTCTCCTGTTCCTAAACTGTTCGAAGCAGTCATGTATAGCCTGTATCGAGTGCCACATTGGAGACCTTTTAACGTATAGTTGTTTGTAGTTGTAGATAATTTTTCTTTTATCCATTCTTTTCCTTCTGCTTTATAATGGAGAATATAATCTAAGGAAGAAAGAAATTAAAATATCTGTCTGTCTTTAAAAAAAAAAACACGAAAATACACACAAAAAGTACCGTTCTAGAAACGTAATCCACGTTTTCTGACATCACTTTAACAATATGGAATCTCTAATAGTTTTAAATTTTAAGAGTATGCTAGTTATTTCCAGTTCTGTTACTAAATCTAATAAATTAAAATGATTGACCTAACGTATTTTTTTGAGCAAAGTTTACATTATATCTGCAATCTAGATACTTTTATAAGGTGTTGAAGTCTAAAGTTCTAAGATTTTCATGCAAGAAAGAAAACTAAAACGGTGATTTCAAAAGTAAACATTTTTTCCCACTAGAATAACTTTAATCTTTAATACATTTACAGTACATTTCGTGGTTTTTTTTTCCTATTACGTGTTCACCGAGCTATTTAACTTGAAATTCTCACACAAGGGGCCGCCACAATCCCTATTGATTCATTTTTTGCTAACCATAATCCTGAACAACGAACAATCTTGTACTTTGCCCGCCGAGGGTATCGCAACCCGATTTTTAGCGTTAGAAGCCTTCATATTTACCGTTGAACCACTGCGTGACATATTTATTGGCAAGTCGTTGAGGCGTAAGTTAATGAGCCCATAAGTAAAAACAAAAAGAAACAATCAAATATATGCATTTTAATTTTAAATTAGTCTAGTTTTTTATTGTTTCCAGAAAATAGTATCTATCCATCTTGCTTTAGGTTATTTATGGGTCTATTTATATTTTATATTTATTTACCTGTCTATCGTCTGTTTCACCTACTTACCTTTAAACACGACGTTTTCATTCTTTTCCCATTCAATAGAGATTGAAGACGATGTTGATGAAACCACAGTTAATCCAGGAGACGTAGGAGGAGCTAAGGTATATTATAAAATAAAGGTTACTTTTTTTTAAAAATAAGAGCAATAAATAAAACACGATTTGTTTTCTTGTTTTGGCTTATTTGTTTTTTTTTTATAAAAACACTAATTATTTTAAAAATGAAAACAAAAATATAAAACTATTTCTCAACAATAGCAGCAACAAAGAAGAAAACGTTCACGTGAGAGAAACACAAAAAAATTAAATTAAAATAGAACCTGAAAAGTTAAGTTAGTTGGGCTAAACAGAAGTACAATACATAATCATGTCGCTGAAATGTTTTGGTTTTAATACACTTTTAGTATTTTAATTCTGGAATTTGCTATAGCTTCTTTATTTGATCTTAATCCCATTTAAGTTTGATGTCGGCCTCTTGGGTGTATGGCCCGGACAACAACCACAAAGGGTGAGCACATTCGGCGACGGGGACTCGAACCCGCGACCCACCGATTGTGAGTTGAGCGCCTTAGTCACCAAGCCATTACTGTTTACGTGTGTATTCCAAACCTCCATGTATTTCGTATTTTACTTCTCAAGATTGGATTTAGCATAATTATCTGTAAGACAACAACCACAAAGGGTGAGCACATTCGGCGACGGGGACTCGAACCCGCGACCCACCGATTTTGAGTTGAGCGCCTTAATCACCAAGCCATTACTGTTCACGTGTGTATTCCAAACCTTCATTTGTTTCGTATTTTACTTCTCAAGATTGAATTTAGCATAATTATCTGTAAGAAACTTACATGATTCTAGGGTTTTAGCCTGGATTTCATCAGATCTAGGCCCAGGTCCTGCGTTATTGTAAGCTTGTACCATGACAAGGTACGAAGTTAGACGCTTCAGGTTCGTTATGTAGCTGGCCATTTCTCCGTCTTCAGGAGTCTCCACGTTTTTATACTGGAATGACTCTTGACTGTCTTCCTGCTTGTAACCCACGTAATAACCCAGCAGTTTACCATGGAGTAGATCTTTTCGTGGAGGCTGAAATAATAAAATAATACACATGGATGAATAAAATAAGTTAAAGAGGCCAACATTCGCGAGTGAGTGCAACATGTCTCCACCACGCAATCCCAACATGGCCAATTTTGACACCAGAAAAATCGAAAATTGTCTATGTCACTGCTTGGGTTCGGAAAGAAAGTATCTTTGTACCAAATCCCATGTAAGTTGGTTGACATACACATGAATAGTTTACGAAAACGCCAAATTCTACTTTTCTCGCTGAAAAATTGACCAAAAGTCCAAACTTGTCCATATTTCTCTTTGAGATCTGGAAAGAATATCTTTTGACCCCCCCCCCGAAAATGACCAAACATGGGTATATTCCACATTTTTCTATGTATACGTATGGGACCTGTAAAAAAAATTACATTTGTTCCAAATCCCACGTAAACTGGCCGAAATACTGAGGAATAGTTTTCAAAAACCCCTAAAATTATGCTTTTTGTGACTCTTTACCCCCCCCCTATAGTTACTAAAATTGGCAAGTCCAACATTTTTGTTTGTCAATGTGCCAGACCTGTAGGAAATCATCTGTAAATTGGTCAAAATATGGCCGAGTAAATGACCCCCAAAATCCAAAATTATGCTTTCTTTGTGAGGTCTGACCCCTTAAACAGACTTAAAATGGGCAATTCCAACTTTTGTTTGTATGTCAGTGTGTTGGGCGCAAAAAATATGTATATTTACACAAAATTACACATTGAATGCAGTAAATATGAACTTATATTACCTGCTTTTCTGCACGCTAGAACAATAAAGCCGTGCATAACGGCTATCCTGGTTGCCATCAAATCTATACTGTCAGTCTCAAGCAAAGCGGGAGTGAAAGGAGAAAGTATTCCACGTGTTGCTTGCCCATCATTCTTCACTCCACTATATGTAGCTTCTTGACTCCTTATAAAAGCATGTGGAATCAAAGGTAATCTTCATACCTTCTAGAGTCTTGATTTCTTCTATCTCCATATGACATCAAAGGTTCATTTTCACTCCTCTCCTTGTAGAGTCTTGACTTCTTCTAGCAGCATGTAGAATCAAATGTAATTTTCACTTCTTCCCTTGACTTCTTCTAGCAGCATGTGGAATCAAATGTAATCTTCACTTCTTCCTTTATAGAGTCTTGACTTCTTCTAAGATTACATTTGATTCCATATGCTGCTCTAGAAGAAGTCAAGACTCTATAAGGGAAGAAGTGCCACCATGTGACATCAAACGCCATTCTTCACTTCTTCCCTTATAGAGTCTTGACTTCTTCTAGCACCATGTGACATCAAACGCCATTCTTCACTTCTTCCCTTATAGAGTCTTGACTTCTTCTAGCACCATGTGACATCAAATATAACCTTCACTTCTTCCCTTATAGAGTCTTGACTTCTTCTAGCAGCATATGAAATCAAATATAACCTTCACTTCTTCCCTTGTAGAGTCTTGACTTCTTCTAGCAGCATGTGGAATCACATATAATCTTCACTTCTCTCCTTATAGAGTCTTGACTTCTTCTGGCACCATGTGACATCAAAAGCCATTCTTCACTTCTTCCCTTATAGAGTCTTGACTTCTTCTAGAACCATGTGACATCAAACGCCATTCTTCACTCTTCTCCTTGTATCGTTTTGATTCCTTCTACCAGCATGTGGAATAATAGGTTAATCTTCACTCCTCTCCAGTAGTGTCTTAATTCCTTGTGGCATCACTTAACCTTAGGGCATGAGTAATATAGGATTCGTGAGAGAATTTGATTTGGTAGGGTCCATTCTGTAGTTGGGGTTCTTTTATCCCAATGCTTTGGGCGTTATGATTATGAAAATATTAAATGCTGTAAATTATCCAGTAAAATATTATATTGTTGGTGGGTGTCTTTGTTTGTTTTGAATTTCGCGCAAAACTACACTAAGGCTATCTGCGCTAGCCGTCTCTAATTTAGTAGTGTAAGACTAAATGGAAGGCAGCTAGTCATCACCACCCACCGCCAACTCTTGGGCTACTCTTTAACTACAGAGAAATGGTTAAATACGTCAAATAACCAAATACATTTTTGTTAAATATCGCATTTAGCATTGAAGGATTAGTGTTTGGTGTATTTAGAACATTTCGAAGTCCTAGTTGTCGGGTTTTTCATTTTTAAATATAAACATAAACATTAAATTTAAATTAAACATAAATTTAAAGTTTTACATTTTAAACAATTAGTATTGTTTGTTTTGAATTTCGCGCAAAGCTACACGAGAGCTATCTGCGCTAGCCGTCCCTAATTTAGCAGTGTAAG